ATTGCCCAACCTTCCTTCCGAGGAGTGGCTGGTGGGTTTGAACCGCCAGCCTTCTGGTTAGCAGTCAAGTGTCTTAGCCACTATGCTACCAGAGATCTGAGCCTTAGAAGGTGGATATCTGGCCTTTGGTTTGGTTTTTCCTCCTCAGGTTAATGCTCAGGTATTTTGGACTTTTTCACTGTAGTGTCTTTTTACTGGGAACTAGAAATTGGGACTGCATGCTATGAAAGTGTTATTGATTGCAGTGCAGATGAGGTTCGCAGAAAATCTCTGGTTCTCAAGTTCCCTAAACAGCAACTTCCTCCCAAGAAGAAACGGCGAGTTGGAACCACTGTTCACTGTGACTATTTAAATGTGAGTATCTGCATTGTTTCTTTTTGATCACATGGGTTTTCATTGATTATTCCTAGTCTTCTAAGCCATAATTCTGATACAGCTTTGGATTTTCCCTTTGGCTTTGCCCTGAGCATCATGTGTTCTGTTCATTACAATGATTTCCAAAATATATTTGTCTAGCAGAAATGTTGGCTTTTTCCTAAAGGAGTATTCTGATTTTTTGTTTCTTTACTTTTGTAGAGACCTCATAAGTCTATACACCGACGCCGGACAGACCCCATGGTAACACTGTCATCCATCTTGGAGTCTATCATCAATGACATGAGAGATCTACCAAATGTGAGTTTATTGCATCAGATGTTTACGCTGGGGATGGCAAGGCCGTTTGTTTTGTCTTATTTCAAACACAAGGTGGTAGTGTATAGACCTAGGTACTGGAACTCCTAATTCTTTGGGATATAGTTTTTGTTTGTTTGTTTAAGTTTGGTAGAGGACACAGTCAGACCTGTTCCATCTAGAAAGTCCTTTGAGAGTTGATAGCCAGGTAGATAGGTAAGATGTGAGAGTTTCTAGGAATTGGCTGTGGCAAGTGTTCTTTGCTCATGGATGGTGTGCTGGCAAGTGTTCTTTGCTCATGGATGGTGCTGGCTCTTATTTGCACAGACTTACCCTTTCCACACCCCAGTCAATGCAAAGGTTGTAAAGGACTACTACAAAATCATAACTCGACCAATGGACCTACAAACACTCCGTGAAAATGTGCGTAAACGCCTCTACCCATCTCGAGAGGAGTTTAGAGAGCATTTGGAGCTAATTGTGAAAAATAGTGCAACCTACAATGGTAAGAATCACCTATTCTTTGACTACAAAGGTCATGTTTCAGATTCTAATTAACTAACCCCTTTGTTGTTAGTGGCTGTTGAGTTGATTCTGACTTGTGGCAACCTCTTGTGCCTAGAGTAGGACTGCTTCAAAGGATTTCAAGTCTGTGACCTTCTGAAAGCAGATCTTCAACCTTTGGTTTGTGTCACCCAGCGATTCATAATTTACCCCTACTGGTCATAAATGCAGAGTAGATTAGACTGACTGAAAGGACCTAAAAGTAGAGCATTTTGGGGGTCTGAAAAATAAGTAGTATGCATTTCCTATTATTTAATAAATAAAGCTTCTTATTTCTATTCTCACTATTTTTAATGTATCCTCCAGAGAATTTGGCTTTAATCTGTTGCATGGGGAGGAAGAAGTAGTTATAGGTGTAAATAGAGAGGTATTCAGTATCGATGAAACCTGTGCAGTTTGTGCTTATGACCATATTTGGTGTGTGTGAATCTTTGACTTGATCTACAAATCTGTTTTAGGGTTTGTGATATGTCCATGTTGCTCAAAAGCTAGAAAGGCAAGGAGGAAGAAATGAATTCTGTTTTCTGAATCTTTAATTGTTGTTGTTTGTGTGTTATGTGCCATCGAGTCGTCTCTGACTCACGGTGACCCCTTCTTGTGTTTCCAGGGTAGTATCATAATTCATGCATGTAAAGGATAAAATATTCTGGTTTACAGTTATCTCCTTGAGCACAGATTTATAAATAAGTGTTGGGATTAAGAATACAAATAAACTATTAATCATATTGCTGCTTACTGAACTTACTTTAGACAAGTTTACCTTCTTTTAGCCTTCTCAGTTTTCTCATTTGTAAAAATGAGACAGTAGTGATAACTGGATTTTATATATAAAAATAAGTAAGGGAGTTTAAAAATTACTTTTGTCATTATTTTTGTGTGTGTGTGTGGTGAAAATATGCACAGCAAAACATACCAATTCATCAATTTCTACATGTACAGTTTAGTGACATTGATTACGTTCTTCAAGTTGTACAACCATTTTTGTTATCCTTTTCCAAATTATTCTGCCAGCATTAACACAAACTCACTGCCCTCTAAGCAAAAAATCCCCTTCTCTCCCTCCCTCACAACCCTGGTAACCATAAATAATCTTAGGTTTGTATACGTTTGCTTATTTCACGTAAGTGAGATCATGTAGTATTTGTCCTTTTGCAGCTGCCATTTATCACTCAGCATAATGCTTCATTACTTGTCTGTCAGTTTGTCTTATAGCGGCTTGTGTGAGGCTGGAGGCTGTACCAATTCTGTTGTACATAGGGTTGCTTTAAGTTGAAGCCGACTTTATACAGCACATAGTGGCTAAGACACTTGCCTGCTAACCAGACGGCTGGCGGTTCAAACACACCAGCCACTCCTCGGAAGGAAGGTTGGGCAGTCCTACTTCTGTAGTGATACTGCCTCGGAAACCCAGGGAGGGGTCGCTATGAGTCAGGTATGACTCGACGGCACATAACAACAACAACAATGACAAATAAGTAAGGGATGACAAAGATGTTTTCATTAGGTTCATCCATGCTATGGCATGCATCAGAATTTGCTTTACAGGTACATAACATTGAATTTATATGTATGTACCACATTTAGTTTAATCTATTTATTTGTTGATGAACATTTCAATTGTTTCTCTCTTTTGGCTATTGTGACAGGTACTACGGTGAACATTGGTGTACAATTTATGTTTGCGTTCCTGCTTTCACTTCCTCTGGATATATATCTAGGATTGCGATTGCTACGTCATATGGTCTGTCAGTGTGTCATCTGAGGTAGCTTGTATGTTGTTATGAGGCTGGAGGCTGTGCCACTGGTGTTTCAGATACCAGCAGGGTCACCCATGGTGAACGGGTTTCAGTGGAGCTTCCAGACTAAGACAGACTTGGAAGAATGGGCCATCCACATCTCAGACTATTGGCCAGTAAAAGCCTTATGAATAGCAGTGAAACACTGTCTGATATATTACTGGCAAAATTTATGAGTAGCCCTGAAACATTGTATGATAGAGTGTGAGATGAACCCCTTGGGTCTGAAGGCCCTGTATGACTACAGAAGAGCTGCCTCCTCAAAGTAAAGTCAGTCAACCTTAATGATGTGGATGGAGTAAAACTTTCAGGACCTCCATTTGATGATGTGGCACAGATCAAAATGTGAAGAAACAGCTGCAGAACATCCATTAATAACTGGAACATGGAACATACGAAGTATGAATGTAGTAAAATTAGAAGTTGTCAGAAATGAAATGGAATGCAGAAAGATTGATATCTTAGGTATTAATGAACTGAAATGGACTGGTGTTGGCTGTTTTCTATCAGACAACCGTATTATCTACTATGCTGGTAATGACAAAGTGAAGAGGAATGGCGTGGCATTCATTGTCACAAAAAATGTTTAAAGATCTATCCTGAAGAACAATGCTGTCAGTGATAGGATAATATCCATATGTCTACCCGGAAGACCAGTTAATATTACTACTATTCAAATTTTCCCACCGAGTACCAAAGTAAAAGATGAGGATATTGAAGATTTTTACTAAATTCTGTAGTCTGAAATTGACCAAACATGCGGTCGAGATGTATTGATTATTGCTGGTGATTGGAATGCAAAAGTTGGAAACAAAGAACAATAAGAGATAGTTAGAAAGTATGGCCTTGGTGATGGCAAGAGGTGATAAAAAGCTCAATATCTTCAGCCAAAACAAGGCCAGGAGCTGACTGTGGAACCGATCATCATTTGCTCATATACAAGTTGAAGCTGAAGACAAAACAAGTCCATGAGAGCAAAAATAAGAACTTGATTATATCCCTCCTGAATTTAGAGACCATCTGAAGAATAGGTTTGACTCACTGAACACCAGTGATGGAAAACCAGATGGATTGTGGGATGACATCAAGAACATCATCATGAAGAAAGCAAAAGGTCATTAAAAAGATAGGAAAGGAAGAAAAATTAACAAAATTTGTGTCAAAAGAGACTCTAAAACTTGATCTAGAATGAAGAGTAGCTATAAAGCAAATGGATGAAACAGGATAAAAGCTGAACAAAAGATTTCAGAGAGCAGCTTAAGAAGACAAACACAGTTATTATAATGAAATGTGCAAAGACCTGGAGTTAGAAAACCAAAAGGGAAGAGCATGCTCAGTGTTTCTCAAGTTGAAAGAATTGAAGAAAAATTCAAGCCTCAAGTTGTAATATTGAAAAATTCTCTGGGCAAAATACTGAATGATGGAAGAAATATCAAAGGAAGATGGAAGGAAAACACAGTTGCTATGCCAAAAACAGGAGCTCTGGTGGTGTAGTGCCTAAGACATGTGACTGCTAACCAGAAGTCTGGCAGTTCAAACCCATCAGCCAGTCCTCGGAAGGAAGGTTGGGCAATCTGCTTCTGTAGTGATACCGCCTTGGAAACCCAACGAGGGGTTGCTATGAGTCAGATGTGACTCAACATCAGTGAGTTTTTTTTGTTGTTGTTGTTTACACCAAGAATAATTAGTTAATAATCCATCCCTTTGCTGTTGTGAATAGTGCTGATACAAACATGGGTGTGCATGTATCTATTAATGTTCTGGCTCTCACTTCTGTAGGTTATATTCATATTAATGGAATTGCTGGATCAGATGGTATCTGTTTCCAAACGTTTAAGGAATCACCATACTGATTTCCACAGTGGTTGTATCATTTTACAGTTTCACCAGCAGTGTAAGAGAGTCCCAATCTCTCCACTTCCTAGCCAGCACTTTTTCCTATTTTTTGAACTTTGCTATTAGTGCTGGGGTGAGATGATGTCTCATTGTTGTTTTGATTTGGATTTCTCTAATGGCTAATGATCACAAACTTTTTTTTCTTAAAAAAATTTGTTGAAATATAATTAATGTACAGTGAAATACAAAAACTAAAGTGACATGGGTCAATGCATTTTTTTTCAGTGTACCCTCCTCTCCCCTCCCACCACTGGTAACCAACAAAGAACATTTCATTCCATATAAAACTTTTCTTTGACTTTTTACAATAATGAACTAATACTATCCTTCTGTGTTTGACTTACTTTACTCAGCATAATGTCTTCCAAGTTCATCCATGTTATGCGGTATTTTGCAGATTCTGTGATATTCTTTAGGGTTGCATAGTATTCCATTGTGTGTATGTACCACAGTTTGGTTATCCATTCTTCTGTTGATGGGCACGTAGGTTGTATCTATCTTTTCACTATTGTAAATAGTGCTGCAATGAACATGGGTGTGCATATATCTGTTCTTGTCCTGGCTCTCACTTTTTTAGGATATATACCTAGTAATGGAATGGCTGTGTCAAATGGTATTTCTTATTCCAGCTTTTTAAGGAATTGCAATACTGTTTTCCACAGTGGTTGTATCATTTTGCAGTCCCACCAGCAGTGTATGAAAGTCCCAGTCTCTGCACATCCTTGCCAGCATTTGATATCTTCTGTCTTGTTGAATTTTGGCATTAGTGCTGGGATGAGATGGTGTCTCATTGTCATTTTGATTTGCATCTCTCTGATGGCCAGTGATCATGAGCATTTCTTCATGTATTTGCTGGCTGTCTGAATATCCTCTTTGGTGAAGTGTCTATTCTTGTCCTTCGCCCATTTTTTAATTGGATAGTTTATCTTTTTGTTTCTTAGGTATTGGAGTTTTCTGTAAATTTTAGAAGTCCCTTGTCAGATAGGTCACTGCTGAATATTTTTTCCCTATCTGTATGTTCTCTTTTTATTCTGTTGGAGAAGTCTTTTGAAGCATAGAAAAAAAAAGTTAATTTTTAGAAAGCCCCATTCATCTAGTTTATCTTCTGCTGTTTGTGCATTTTGGGTTATGCTTGACAGTCTATGCCATAAATGAGGGCCCCTAAATTTGCCCCTATTTTTTCCTTGAAGAACTTTAGAGTTTTAGGTTTCACATTAAAGTCTTTGATCCATCTGGAGTTAATTTTTCT